CTGTTAGTATATTACCTGATTATAATGTGATAATCATAATACTTTTTGAATTTGGAAGTCATTTTCTTTTCAATTTTTAAGTCTGCCCAGTAAATCACATAGACCAAGAAAGTTCTTGTGACAACGGCCTCACAATGGCTATCAGAGTTGATCCTTTTAGTCATTTTCTATGTGCAGTACCTAGATGTTTTGATCCATGTCACATAAAATATGCAGGTAATACTATCTATCTCTATCTTGGTATCTGACAATGTCTGTACAGAGCCTTGGGGAGCATGAGTTCTTTAAGGCTGCTTCATAGAAGGGCACAAGAAGGAGCATTACCTCTTTTATACTTCCAGGGAAGAGCTATTTACTAGTGTGTTCCTGACTGGGGGTTATGTTATGTTGCCCAAGTCTAGAGGGGATTAGAGAAACGTGGGAAGGTTTCTTTGTCACAATAACTGGAGTCTGTTACAGGCATTCACTGTTTGGGGGTCAGGAATGGTAACTTCCTGCAATGCATGGGTTGACCCCCACTACAAAGAAGTGTCCAATTCAAAATGCCAACTGCGCCTTGTGGTGAAACTTATTTAAAGGACTGTAACTTACATTAGTCAAGACTTTTAAGTCAAAAGTAAGAGTCAATATAAGCTAATTTAGGGCCTCCCCCGTGGCGCAGTGGGTTGAGCACAGCACTGTGACACTGTCTGCAGCCTCTGCAGCATGGGTTCAATTCCCAGCCAGCCAGGGAGATACCCACATGGCACAGCAGACCTCTCCTGTCAAGCCTGCAGCAGTGCTTTTGGTCTGTCTATTCTGCTCCCCGCTCTGTCGCTGGTGAATCCTCTCACCCTCCTGCGCCTCTGGCCTATATCTCAGCTATTGTATAAATAAAAAATAAATCTTAAAAAAAAATAAGCTAATTTAAATGGAAAGGAATTATTTATTAAGCCTTTTTTTTTTAATATTTATTTATTTATACAAGCACTGGGTACAGTCAGAAGCGTGGGAGGGTGAGAGAGTTCACCAGAGCCAGAGCGGGGAGCAGAGCAGGCAGAAGGACCGAAGCACACTGCTGAGGGGAGCAGCGGGCGGCAGGAGAGGTCTGCACGCCATGTGGGACCCTCCTCTGGTGGCCAGGGAGCAGCCGGGGATCGAACTGGCGCTGCAGAGGCTGCGGGCAGCTTCGCAACCCAGCGCTCAACCGCTGCGCCACCGGGGAGGCCCTATTAAGCCTTTTCAATAGCTCACAGAATCCCTAGAAGGTCCAGAAGATCAGGCTGGGTGGCCACACAGTAGAAAAAATGCCCATTATACCACCAGCTGTTCCCAGGGACCCCAGTTTGCACTGCCCACTGTCAGCATAAATTGCCTACACAGGGCATGGGAGCCCTTGGATAGCTCTTTTGTTATTGCTGGCCCAGAAGCTTAGAAAGGGATTCCATGTGAGGTTTCTTCTTACTTGGCAGAGCTAAAGTCACATGTATCGGCCCCAGGGACAAAGGCGGCAGGGAGCTCCACCTCCGGGAAGCAGGCCTCACAGGATAGGAAGTTCCCCAAACATAGGAAGGTATTGAAGACACCGGGCAATCACTAAGTGTGACAAAGGCCGGTGAAATCATCAGAATCCCTCCAATAAAGGCACGAACCTGACAGAAATAGCTTCCACATTTGTTTCCCAGAATTTTAGAAAGATATACTAGTCTCTCCCCACTGTTGCATATTTACCCTATTTTCTCTACCTCAGTTACCTCATCAGATTATCTTTTGGGTTGGTATGTACATATATATATATATGTACATATATATATATAAACTTTTGGTTTTTTCCTCAACTCTATAATTCCTGTGCAGCTAGAAGAGCCTTATTCTTTTTTTTTTTTTTTTTTAAAGATTTATTTATACAAGAGCTGGGGTACAGGCCAGAGGTGGGAGGGTGAGAGGATTCACCAAAGACACAGCGGGGAGCAGAATAGGCAGATGACCAAAAGCACTGCTGAGGGGAGCAGCAGGCTAGACAGGAGAGATCTGCCGCGCCATGTGGGAATCTCCCTGGCCGACCGGGAATCGAACCCACACTGCAGAGGCTGAGGACAGCTTCACAGCGCTGTGCTCAACCCGCTGCACCACTGGAGAAGCCCAAGAGCCTTATTTCTTGATCCTCTCACCTCCTACAACTTTATGTAGCCCATGTGAGTGTTTACCAAAAAAAATTTTTTTAATTATGAATAAGATAACATATGTGGCTAAAAAGTAAGCAAAAAAAGCACAGTGTGCTTCAGTTCAGTGACATTACTGTGTTGCCAGTGTGCCCACATGGTTTTTGGCAGCAAGTGTGGGGAATAATTTGATGGGTTGTACCAATTTGCTCTTAGGTTACTTAAGAACTAAAGCTCCACATACCACCGAGCTGCTTAAGTGACAGGACTGCAGGCAGGACTGTGTCACTTTCCTCAGACAAGTCAAAGTATATTACACATGAGTATGTAAGGCAGTGTCATAGGACTGTGGCTTTTCAGAAATAATTTGAACCACAATGGAGAGATCAACATAAGCTCCCTGGGAACACTGATTTCTCAGTTTCATAGTCTTTGTCTTTGATGCTGCAATAGAACTTCCAATAATGAGCTGATAATGGGATATGCAGAAGAATAAGTACAGCAGTTTACATTTTAAAATCATCCCATACTCCCTGAATTTATCAGTTCTATTTAATGATACAAATAAGTAGTTTTGTGCTTATTACACTAGAAATTATCAGAGCACCTTCCTCCAGCTCTCAATTGCCTTATAAACAAGCCCATTGTCCCCAAAACAGTGATCAAGGAAAAAAGCACTAAAGCTAGCTAGTATCAGCATTTTAAATTCACTGACTCAGTGAATGGAGCTAATATTCATTTTTTACTTTTAATGAAATAATCTAAGTGTTTGCTTTGTTGGCATGTGGGTTTTTTTTTTTTTTTTGTACACTGGGTTTATTTTTTTATATAAATTCTCTCTACCTGAAAAAACTGACATTCAGGAATGCACTTATAATTTGTTGAAAGATAAAAATATAGATGAAATCTTGAAGTGATAGAAACAATGGAAGACAATAGATTACCCACTCATCAACTGTAAGGTTTATCATCTTTGGATATAATGAAACATAAGTTTGTTAAATATTGTGGTAGCTGGTCCATATATCTTTGATTGAGTGCAGAGGAGCAAGTTTATCTTCTTGATCATGTGTCTGAAAATTGTCATTTTTGGAGTCAGGGGGTTTGGAGTGCAGGGTCCTTGGGTTCACTCCGGGAAGGTTTCACCAGAGCTCCCGTTTTAGCAACACTTGTTGAGTTTCACAGGTGAATTTCTCCACAAGACAGAGACATTAGTTATATTTAAAGGGCAGGTTTATTAGGGAAGGGATAAAACAGTTAAAGACACTTGCATAGACACAAGTGGGCCGGAAGAGCTGCCCTGAATGGGACAGGTTTGCTGAGAGAGGTCTGGGAGGTCAGTGAAGAGAAGCCCCGGCATGTACACATCACGGAGAAAGCAGGAAAGCTGCTGTCCTGCAGAGGAAGAGAGTTGGTGAAAAGAAGCACCTGCATAGTCACAGGTGGGCAGAAGGTCTGCTGCCTCCAGCCAGTGTAGACTGCACTGATATAGTCTTCTTCTCTTTGGGAGGGGCTCACTCCTTGTGAGCCTTCTGGTTAGTTGCTCATTTTAGAAAACTATGCAGAATCCGAGAATCTCCATATCTTTACCTTTGGATCTGCTGGGCTCAGTCTCCATATCTTTACTGTTGGGCCTGTGGCTAGACACTCCCTACAGCAAAATGAAGTCTAGAATATGAAATCAAAACTGCTTTAATTACTATAATTACTTCCTTATGACTTTTGACTGGGGTGACTGGCACATTTGGGGTTTTGGTTTCATGTTCTACCTCTAAATCTAATAAATCCCAAAGGCTAAGAGTTAGTCTAGATTGAGAAGTAGGTTAATACAGTAATAATTTAAGACTCTATAATTGGGACTAAAATTGGGCTCAAACTGGACAGAATTTTGTTCCTCTCTTGCCAATATTAGTTTTTCATATCCCTCAATTTAAACATACAGGATCTGCTACTTTTTCAGTGGCTGAAAATGTTGGAATCTGGTTATAAATGTGAGTACATGCTACCAGGGTTTCCCTCCATGAAGCTGACAACCAACAAAACGGGAACATAAGGTAGAGTCTCCTATAATTCTAAGCCTCTCATGACAGCAGGTGCACTAGCGTGGCCCAGTCAAGAGGGCCTCACACATGGGTAGCTGAGATGGCAATGGTACGAGCAGCATCATGGTAGAGTCAGAGTCTAGGATCCTTGGAAATCACTGGGCCAAATCACCTGCCCAAACTGTTTCATATTATAGATTGGGAATTGAGACTCTGGAAAGTAAACTGGTTTACTAAAGATTGCTTATCAGTGGTAAACACAGACCTAGAGGCCAACCAATATCCTTTCACCAACCATGCAGTCTCCTTGTCAGAAGACAAGACTACATAATCTATAGTACCAATTTAGGACGATGTATTCTGGCTATGTGACTTAACAAGCAATTATTCTGAGACTCTGATGAATGAGGAGAAAGTCACTTTGAATATATCAAGACCCCAAACTTACACTTTCTCAAGTTAATGTCTTACTGGGTTTTTAAAATGGAACCATTAAGAAAATTTGTTTCATTGTATATTTCTGTTGTCTCCATAAACCTGCATAAATGATGATTTCCTTGATAGCATTAGAATCCTTAATACCTAAGTTGAATATCTGGATTTATTTTTTTCCAATTCCATCACAGCATGACCACTGTATTATAGCTTCATAAAACCTTAGGGCTGCAAGGGCGCTAGCTTATTCAAAAGAAAGTGACTTTTTCTTTGTTACACACCCTTAACTTGTGAAATGTATTGTACTTGGTGGAGAAAAGGATGTGTTGCAAAGAGTGAGGCTTTCAAACAGAACAGAGCCAAGTCTAAATTTAGCCTTACCTTTCATTAGCTTTGTAAATAGCCATTTAACTATTTAGAGCCCCAGTTTCCTGGTTTCCTAATTTTTTTTAACAGTACCAGTCACTTGCTAATGGGGTTTCTGAAGGAAAGAAATATAATAAGGTACCTAGACCACATGGCACACAGCCAGGTATTTAACAAATGGATGCTATAATTGTTAAAGTACAGAGAGGCTACTGTCTTAGCCTTTGAAATTGTTCAGGAGGATTGGGAACAGCTCCTTGAAGATAAAGATATTTATAGACATAGGTTGAGAAGTGCTATTTCTACTAAAATGTGAACTTAGATATGGGACAGTGAAAATAGTACTGGTAGTTTGAGATGGAATCCTGGGTTGTACTTTAGGGCTAGCACCCTAGTGATAGTGTGGTCTTGGATAAGGCATTTAACCTCCTTGAGTCTATTTCTTGGGCTTCAGGAAAATGGGACAAGGCCCCAAGTAACTTTGCTTCCTACTTTAAGGCTTATTTAAGAGGCAGTCTGCCCACAGGAAAGCAAGCCCTCTACCACTGAGAAGGGTTTCATGGTGAGCAGCTCCCAGGTCTGCGTCCGGATAGGCATGCTCCTTTCATCTTTGCTACTGATGTCACTTCAGTGACATATTACCAGCAGTTTGAGCTGTTATTTAGGTTTTTCTTTGCATTTGATGTTCTGTTGTTAATTCTGTGGAGTTGACTAATTTGAACTTATTTAAACATTTCAGGTTGAAAGTCCTTTGATAACTGCTATGTTAACGTGAAGGATAGGAACACAAAGGTGAGGAAACACTAAAACTTATCTGAACTCCTGCTATGACTTCATTATCAGCATAATCGAACAACTTCCAAGAGTGAGAAAAAAATGAGGAAAGTTAACAAGGGGGGAAGAATGTTTATTAAGAGGCATGAAAATGCATAAACTCATTTATAAATAAAAGTAGTATAATTTACCCAGTGAAAAAATAGAATCCATGAGTAAACTGGATTTTCTATTTGAAATGATTACATATTTGATGTCTAATAATTTCCCCCTCCATCACGATCTCTTGGTAGCAGCAATTTTACAATGGCTGTAGAAAATACTGTTACCAACAATTATCATGGGAAGAGGAATTTTTCAAGAGTTTTCTTTAAAAATGAACTAGTGCAAACAAATTCAGCATATAAGGGATATGCAAAGATCTGGGGCTAATCTTCAGAAAAGTAGAAAATAAAAATCCCAAACATATATATATAATAAGAAATGAAAAAGGCAAGCTACATTTTGATCATTAAAAAATAATACATATGGATATTATAAAACATTCTTAACCAGTGATTGCATTAATTACATTTATAAATGCTCATTCAAGTACTAGTATTCAATAAACATTCAGATCCCCATTAGAAGTAACACGAGATATAGACACATCTGGATAGTGCTTTTTTGATACAACAACAACAAATACCATGTCAACTGGAGGCCAGTGACTTAAAACACTATTTTTTGTCTATCAATAATTTTCCATAGTCTATGTATATTTTGTTAAGACCTGTAGAACATTACACAATAGCTAGTTAAGAAGTCCTCTCTTTAAAATAACTCAAGGTTACTAAAACAAATATTCTAAAACACAAGTTTAACTTTAAAAATACCAGGGTAGAATCCATCTTCTTTAGCAAGAAATTGTTAACTCCTTACCAAATGTTGGTTTGCTGTAGACACTATATGAATACTTCATTGGTCTTTACCAAAGAGCTATTTAATAAGATGAAAAGATTTCATAAACTATGGTGCCATGATAGCAACAGAAGAACTTATGTCAAAGTAGTGCTGAAATCAACATCACTTCCTTGATTACTGTTGTTAATCGATCTTCCTTCAAAAAGCTCCCTCCTAATTTTGGCCTGAATCTCAGGCTTTAATAAAAATTCCTTTATCTGTTTCACTTTGGCCTTCAGACTCATTCTTTCTCGATGCAAAGCTTCATTAATTAAGTCCCGATTTCCAATAGGTTTCTTGCCTACAGAAAAAAAAATTATATAGTGCATTTTACATACAAAGGTGAATGAAAATCATTAAATATGGCACACTGACTTATCAAAAGGTTAAAAAAAAGACCTTTAAAATGTTGCCCATGTTTTATATAAAAGGTTGCATTTTGCCAAAAAATATATCATTTACATAAAACAAATTTACTGTAAATAAAGATCAGTGCATAAGAACAACATACATCAGACAAACATGAAGCCTTATGTACTCTTGTATAATAGTTTCAACAGTGATTATTTAAACTTAGCACTTGTTAGCTATGTGTGTGTTTTGGCCTCAGATGAAGGAGTCAAATGCCCTGCTACACAATATAAATGGCAGTATTCCATTTATGGCAAGGCCCTTTTTGGGGTTTTTGAGCTCATAGGCATAATACAAGTTCCCTCTCTCTTGGCGATGACTGAGAGCAAGTGAAACCTGGCTATGCTTTCACAGATGAATTTCCTCTGCTAGTTCCATTTCTCTTCTATTGTGTTTCAGAAATGCAAACACATCAATCATTAGTATCAGGCAGTCTCCACATTTTAAACAGCACAATGCAGGTTAGTTCCTTGAGTCAGCGGAGGGAAGCAGGGAAACTTCTCACAGAGCAGAGAGGTCCTGCCTGCATTAGGGTCTCATTTCATGTTGTCACTGTCAGTGCCATTCCTATTAGCCTCTTCAGTTTTCACAGAGTTCCCATTCCCTGGTTTATTTTTGTTCTGTGTTTCTTCCAGATACTGTTGCACAGCTTTGAGGACCGCATTCTCCACCAGCCTCTTACTGAGCCTTACCAGTTCAGCATCATCAGGTTCACCTCCATTCTTATCACCTACATTCATAGAGAAGAAAGGTCACTGAGAGTATATTGCCATAGAATCTTGGCATGCAGGGGCCAGCTAACTCACTTAAAAAGAGTATGTCCTTCAGCCCGATCTATAAATTCAAGAAAACTGACTTGAATTTTCATTTGGTATTTGCAGAAATAGGAAACTGCCTATTCCTGAAAACTTCAGGTTGAAAAGAGTACATTAGCCCTAAGCTAAACATACTCTACCTAGCAATGCTGGAAGTTTCCCATTTATACATGGAGTCTTTGGTCTTCTCTCATCCAAGGCTAAATGCTACTATTAAAGTCCATGAGTCTAGCACCTGGAGCTTCAGACATGTGAATCCACCAACTAGATCCTTTTTCTCCACTAATCAAATGACAGGTAATCAAAATTTCTCCATCAGCTAATTACTTGGGATCACTAATTTTAAAATGTTTGGACTATATGTTGTTGCTAATAAATTCTCAGCACTTCCAGGAAGACAAAGGCAGTTACTACTACAAGGAACTGGCTTAAGATAAACTTGTAAGACTAATGTTCCTTTGTTTTTAATCTTAGTGCTATTACTGCAAATTAAGAAACAGGAAACTCTTTGGGGAAAAGTTAGGATTATGATAGTGAATTATTAGATGTGAATATTTTATGGCCATTTTGCTTCCCTGCTAGTGATAATCAAGGCTTAATTATATCATCTTTCATTTTACTGTAAAGAACTGGTTCCCCTCTCTTCTCATGCTACATATTTCCCAGTCATTCTCTTTCCTGTCTTCCTTAACTGGGGAAAAAAAATCAAGGGGATTCATCTCATGTCTATCAAGCTGTGAAGCCAAGAGGGTAGATTGTTGAAGGTAAAGATATTAGAGCACCTAAGTATAACAAGCAAAGAGTAACAGATCTCAATGGATTGATAGACAACAATACAGTAAAGGACTTCAATATTCTACTTTCAACAATATGTCCACCATCCAGACAGAAAATCAATAAAGACAGTGGACTTGAACTTAGCTTAAATGGACCTAACACATATATGGAACATTCTATCCAATAGCACTAGGATATGCACTCTTCTCAAGCACAAATGAAACATTCTCCAGGCTTGATCATATGTTAGGTCATGAGACAAATCTCAGTTAATTAAAAAAAAAAAACACAAAAATTATACTAAGTATCTTTTCTGACCACAATAGTATGAAATCAGCTATCAGTAACAGGAAGAAAACTGGAAAATGCACAAATATTTGGCAACTAAATGGGCTAACAACCAGTGGGCCAAAGATAAAATCAAAAGGAAATAAAAAACAATAACCCACATAAATGAAAATGGAAGCACAATGTGCCAAAACTTATGAGTTACAGTAAAAAGCAATGCCAAGACAAGTTTATAGCAATAAATATCAACATTAAGAAAAAAAGTTCAAATAAACAACCTAACTTGTCATCAAAGTCTGCATTTCAATGTTCATTGCAGCATTATTTTTAATACTCAATACATGGAAAGCACCTAAGTGGTTTGATAGCCTTTGAAGGTTGAGTAGACAAAGAAAATGTAGTAGTATTTAGTACCTCCTTTCCATAACAGTGACACATTCTCACATTCTTTAAAGAACTGCCCTCATGCATATAAAAAAAAAATGAAAACCTGACATTTGTAATAAAAGCAAAGAACCTAGAGGAAATAAACTTTAGAGAAATAAGCCAGAGAAAGACAGCATGTGATATCACTCATATATTACAGAGAGAAAACCAATAAACAAATGAACTAAATAAAAATAAGCTTTAAAAAAAAACAACAGAAAATGTGATAGTATTTATATATAATATTATTGAGCCATTAAAAAAAAATGAAGTCTTGCCATCTGTGACAACATGGATGAAACTTGTTGGGCATAATGACAAGTGAAAGTCATACAGAAAAGAACTAATACTGTATGATTTCACTTACATGTGCAATTTAAAAACACTAACCTCATAAAAAACAAAGTGGAGGTGGCCAAGGGCTCAAGAGTGGGAAAAATGGAGAAATGGAGATGTTGGTCAGAGTACAAACTTTGAGCCATAAGATGAATAAATTCTGGGAATCTAGTATACATATCAAATCATCACATTGTACACCTGAAACTGACACTATGTTGTATGTCAATTGTATCTCAATAAAGGGGAGAGTGAAGTTGGAATGCACACACATTAGAGCTAACTCTGTTTTGGAATATCAGTCATGGGCTTCAGAAGACAAAAGTCCAGTATTGAACTTGCATCCTACAGTTTGGGACAGGCAGAAACAAAGGGTATGAGATGGAACATGGACATCCTTACCTATCCTTCCATGTTACAGAGACTGAAATATGAAACATATGCCAAAGGTGGGAAGTGATCTCTAATCCTCTTTCTGAGCCCTACCACTCCTATGTAATGCATGTGCAAGACCAATTCTGCATATAACCATCATTCTTAGCAACATCCTAAACCAAGTAAAATGGGTTAAAGATCTATGAAATATAAATATGTCAGAATATTATTAAAAGAATGTGTGTAAAGAAATGTGTGTCTAATACTGCTTTGGGGGCAAGTTAAAACTATTTTTATTGTAAAATTGAGTAAGTATATTGCCTAGTATTTAAAGGATTTTTTCAATCTTATAATACTGTATACATGACACTTCCAGATGTGTTACCTAAAACTTTTTGTGTAATAGTTCTTCAAATTTTAAGGATAAAATCAAACTGATGATGAAGGAATACTTTTTAAGCACCCTTCAAAACACTATAAATGACCCTTTACACTGGGGGCTGTTCCTAAGCCTAATCATCTTTAGGATAACATGAGATATCACATTATTGATACATCAGCAGTAAGATAATAGGGTTGTAATACATGAATGTAATCATACTAAAATTCCAGATACTTCTCAGGTTTTCTGTGATTTTTCCCACTCTACAGTGAAGTGATCCTGTTACTTCACACACTAAGAGATTTAAAATAAAAATCTTCTCACAAAAAACTCTCTTCTGATTTTCTTAGTTTTGTTTATGATTTTACTATTGTCCAAGTCAACCAAACTCAAGTTTGTCCCCCTTTTCAACTTCATCTCTATATAGTAGCTATAAACAACCTAAAACTGAACTTAAAAAAATATGTTAACAGCATAAACTGAATTGGGACAATTCAATGAAATGTATGCAATATTTATACACTGACAACTACAAAATTTGCTGAAAGAAATTTTAATATAATTTGCTGAAAGAAATTATAAAAAACCTAAATAGAAGTAATACTCTGATTCAATGACAATACTGTTATAGAGGCCAATTCTCCTTCAGTTGCTTTATTGATGCAAAACTATATCAATCAAAAACCTACCACTTGGCTTTTGATGGAAAATGACAACTTGATTCTAAGATGTATTTTAAAATGTAAAGGAACTGGTCTCAACTGAAACAGCTTTTTTAAAAAATGAAGTTAGAAGACATATTACCTAATTTCAAGGCTAGCCATGAAGTTATAGAAATACAGTTGATATTAACATAAAGGTAGACATACAGATCAATGAAGCAACACAGAAAATCAAGAAATAGACACAAATATAGCATATGGCCAACTGATTTTCAACAAGGGTGCTAAGAGAATTCAATAGAGAAAGAAGAAGCTGGGTTTCCTGAATATGCCAGTCTCCTGTGCCATTTCTCATCATGTTACTTGCCTAAACAGTGTGGTCTAAGTATTTTATTGTACACTTTTTAAAAAAATTAAAGTCTATAAGCTTATATGTCTTAAAATGGTGTCAAAAAACAGGAGGGGCTAAGTAGGACAAGGATCAAGATAGGACAAGAGGACATTGCTTTTGGGATCAAATAAAGTAGGGCTCTGCATGATTAGGGTGGTACTAATTCTGGAGATATGATGATACAGTAAATAATGAGGAAGCCCCTCCCCCAACCCCAAAATAACCCTACTACAACGCTATAGGCATATGCAAGAAAAGAACTCTGGTGACTGCCTGGTGGCACAAGGCGTTAAGCGTCAGCACTATGAAGCAATCCGCTGCTACTACAACGCAAGTTCAATCCTCTGCCAGGAACGTCACCCACATGGCGCAGCAGACCTCTCCTGTCTCACCCACGGCTCCTCTCAGCAGTGTATTTCAGGAGATCCAACTGTTCTG